CTACTGCTACTACTGCTGCTAGTGCTACTGCAACGCTACTCCTACTTGTCCTTTGAATGACTTGTCCATTACATCCCTCCCCAAACTGGTCAGCAAGTTCAAGCCGCCGATACCGCCTACCCCGCGATCGAAAGCAGAAGCCAATATTGCCTTCGCAACCATCGCCTGATCGTTCTGTTTCTGCATATCTGTATGTATGTATACACATGTGTATACATACATACATACATACATATATATATAGATATGACACATAAAGGCATATTTGTGAACTGCTCCGTATGTGTTTCCATAAAGTTTCTACGTGCTCTCAGATACCCTGTCTTGGTGTCTTCTGTATGCAGTACTTATGTGTATACTTAGATGTTAAGTTTGTCTCATCGTGCATCGTAGGGTCTGTTGGAAAGGGGAGCTGCCGCCCCAATTCTGGCGAAGTCGCACAAACTGAAGGCCAATCTTTACGGCATTCCAACTGCATGGTTTGAAAGTTTGGTTCACTCGAGCTGGAATGCAGTTTCAGCCTGCCGTGAGCAGGCCATCGACGCCTACACTCAGTTCCTGCGCGTTTGCAAGGAGCTGCTGGGACACCTGCTTGTGTGTTCACTGAGATACCTTAGGGATTCTGAGTTCGCATTTTGTGGTTTGCCGGGGGGTTTGGAGCCGACTAGCGTGCTCTCGGACGTCGTGGCCTCACCAGCCTTCATCGTCCTACAGACAACGAGTGCCATCGACAAGTTCTGCATAGCAAGAACAGTTGTGAGTATTGTTGACGCTGTCGGATTATTGTCGCGCCTGCCGCGACCCTTTCCCAACAGGAGTGTAGCGACACCCAGGGCGGAGCTCTTGGCTACCACTGCATCGGGGTCCCCTGGCTCAGCCTTTATGACAAAAAGGGATGTGATTTCACCGCGGACGCGCGTCACGATGACGATATGCACGGACTCTATGTGTTTGCTCTTATCCTGTTCTGAAAACTTGCCACAAACTGAAGCAAGTCTCCTCGACCGTATCACCGTTGTCGTTCCTCGTCTCATGTTTGCGCTGTTGTTCTCCTTGTTGCTGTAAGTACCTCGCTGTTGCGAGATGCGGACATTGATGCTGATGCCATGAAGGCTGCTGGCACTGCTGGTGGCAATCCTGATTGCGTTATCAGTGGTTCCTGTTGTGGCCTTCTGCCAGTTGCCTCTCGAGGCGTAAGGTGTCAGTGTTTGGGCGTTTCAGGCTTCAGATCCGCACAGTATTGCTGATTTCTAGGACTGCTGATTTGGTACACATCCCTCCTAACTAACATCTTCAAACCGCGTAAACAGGCAAGCTTAGATTTTGACCCTAGGAACTTAAATTCAAATTCCTTGCTCCTGAATTCGCAGATCCCCAGCTTTGCAGGTGGATTACCAGCTGCTGGGAATTGGTGCCCAGAAAGGCATGGGGGCGTGAACTTAACCAACACCTTTGGTCTGGATCAATGGGTTCCGCGAGCTGGGAGGCATTAGTACTGGAATAGGAAAGAGAAGGACGAATTTGCGTGTGAGACAGCCCGATGTTGAGCAACTTGGCAGCAGCAGTGTACCAGCTCTCCCTCATGCCCTGTGCGGGCAAGTGAACGGTGGTGGGTGCATGTTCAGAAAAGTCTGCCAACATCCTGCACATGTACTGCATCCTCCGACTGCCTGCCTGTCGTGGTAGTACGATCGAACCCTGAACCAGAAGGAGCAAGAGCCTCAAGCCCCATGCTTTGCATCATGTGCAGGTGAGGCTGCTGCAGAGGGTGAGAATGCTGGCAAAAGACCTGTCCTCAGCTTCGAGCTTCGAGGAGGTTGATACAATGCCCCTTCTTCTGCATCCTGTGCTATCAATTTCACAGGACTGCCTAGCGACCGTCCCTGAAATACGGAGTCTTGCGCACGAAAGCCATGCTCGACTTTCAGTGTAGATTCGTACTTGCTACTGCCGCCACCATCACCTCCACTGCCGTCATCATCATCGACCTCATCATCATCATCATCAGCATCATCATCATCATCAGCACGAAACAGATTCTGTTTGGTGCTGATGACAGTAATATTGCAGACTGTACCGTACTGGCGCGAATACCAATCATCGCCAGAATACCACAGTTGTTTTCGCATTCCCAAACCCTGAAACACGGATATCAGTGGGGTGATAGTACGGTAGTACCAGTGGTAGTAATTTAATTGTACTGGTACTGGTAGTGATTGTAGCAGTCGTCGTCGTCGTCGCCGTCGTGGTCGTAGTCGTTGTCGTCGTCGTGGTGGTAGTAGTAACTTAGCAGTAGTAGTAGTAGCAGTAGCAGTAGGAGAAGGAGTAGTAGTAGTAGTAGTAGTAGTAGTAGTAGTAGTAGTGCTAGTAGTAGTGCTAGT